GTTGCTGTTTTTAAGCTAAATCTCGCCCAATCTGTACTTGTATCTTTGATTTTTTTCCTGCCTAAATGTAAAACTTTGTTCTTCTCCACACTGAAACTCATTTTGTTGGATAGAGCCCATTGTTCAAGTTTGTCAAGATCTTTTTGGATCCTGAGTTTGTCTTCTGGGGTATTGGCTACTCCTGCCAGCTTGGTGTCCTCTGCAAATTTGATGAGTTCCCCTTCAATTCCCTCATCTAAGTCATTGATGAAGATGTTGAAGAGTACTGAGCCTCTACTTACAAGCACAACTGAGTCCAAAATTTCTATTGCTAAGCAGGGCAGTTGTTAAGGCAGTTTGATCCCATTTTATGAATTTTCTTGAAACAGTTAAGTTAGTGACATCGCAGTTAAGTGAATCTTGCTTTCCCCATTGACTTTCCTTGTTAGAAGGTCACAAAAGGAGAACACATGACCCCAGGACAGTGCAACTTTCATAAATACACAACAGTTGCCAAGCTTCCAAATTTTGAACACGTGATCATAGGATCAACAGTCGTGACTTTTTTCAACGGCATTGTAACTTTGAATGGTCAGTAAACTAAATGGGTATAAGTTGAGAACTACCTGTACAACCTTTGGCAATTTGGGAATGGAAAATTCCAGATAAATCTGGAAGGTTCTGTTCACTAGTGGATCATCCTAAAACTCTTGAGACCATGCCGTTTAGAAGCTGGTTTGGCACTAATCATAGTTTTCCAGAAGATTCTATTTACAGTTTTTAATTCGGCACACCTGGTTAGTAGTATCAAGCTTCTTTTTTTAAAAAAAACCTGCTGCTTTTATTGCAAAGTATGCTGAAATGCTTCAAAATGGGAAACAGTACATAAATAAAGTAGCTAAAAACGTCAAAGTTATCCGTTTGTGCCACTGAATTAAGATGCATAAGGCTTCAGGAAAAAAAATAACATTATTTTAGGGTGATAAATATGCAGCTGCTGATTCCAGCATCAGTGGAGTTAAATAATTATAAATGAATTAACTAAATTAATCTCATTCTGGGATCTGACCAGTCAGCTAATCTCAACTTATTTTTCTAGCCATCGTTCTGAGGCAAGTAAGAGTTTAAAAGATCCTTCTGAACTGAAGTCAGTCATGAGAACAATTTAGTACAAGTCATGAAGTTTCACCATACAGCAGCACATTACTGAAACAGGGAGGGTTTCTGTCCACCATAAAACTGATTTCGTGTGGAATCTGGCTGACGATCTCGCAAGGATTAATCGTGTTAATTTTACTAAGAGACTAATCCTGCTACAGAACTCTCTCAAGAAGAGAGACGTAGAACTGTCACTCCAGCAAATTCCTTTAAAAAGCCTCAACTACATGCCTGCCATGATAAACTGGGGTGTGCTACCCACACAGAAATGGGATTGAGACAGTTCCAATGAACACGCCCAATCATGGTCAGGAGAGATCATGGTTTGCACACACAGGAATGCCTACACTGTTGAAGTATATGTTTTTAGATCTAACAAAAAAATGCACTCTTTAATAGAGACATTAATTCATCAGTAGGTTTATGAGATGGACAAGGGAGATCTTATCTGTAGCATATTTCACAGTATTGTCTCCTTGCTAAGTCAACAGAGCAATGGCAGCTTCGGATTCCTATTTGGTTATAAAAATTAGTTGCTAACCTTGGCCGCATGTCTGAAACAGCGCCCTCTTTTTGCAAACCCATTCCCCTTATTTTTCCCGTGCATTTTCCCTGCATCTGTCTATGGAGATTCTCAATTATCCAGGTCATGGTTGCCCCAAACGTGCTTTTTTTTCTAAAAGGAAACTGGATTTTCCTTTCTTTTTCCTTGAAGACTTTTCGCTTCTCATCTAAGAAGCTTCTTCAGTTTGGAACTGAAAAAGAACAACTCAGAACTACTGAGAAACTGAAGAAGCTTCTCAGAGGAGAAGCGAAATTTCTTCGAGGAAAAACAGAGAAAGTCTAGTTGCCTCTTGGAAAAGCACCTTAGGGTTCCCCGGCATTTTCTAACTCTTTGGAAAAGAAAAAAATCTCCAACTTCTGAAGCAGGGATGGTGTGCGGGAAACTAAATGTGAGAGGAAAAATTCCCCCAATGCTAGCATTTCTTTGTGTGTGAACTCTTCACTGGATACCCTCTAAGTTCTCGTTGTGCTGTTAAAATCTAGAAAAAAAGGGAAGTTGACAATCAAAGAGAAATAAAGCATGAAGAGGATACTGAAATTGCTTGGCTGAGGAATTCTGGGAGTTGAAGTCCACAAGTCAAAAAAAGGGCCAAGTTTGAAGACCCCTAGTCTAGTGGTAGATCTAGTTCTACCATAGGGATGAAATCCAGATGGATGACTTTGAGCCAGTCGCCCTCTCTCAACCTAACTCACCTCACAGGGCTGTGGCTGTGTGGAGAACAGGAGCAGTTGGTTACCGTATTTTCCAGCATATAAGACAACTTTCTAAAGCGTGGAAATCGGCGCCGGTCGGGCGTCGTCTTATACTCCGAGTCGTCTTATACGCCGGAAATTACGATAGTTTCCGGCGTATAAGACGACTTTCTAGGCATGGAAATCGGCGCCGAAGTCGGGGGTTGTTTTATACGCCGAGTCTCCTTATACGCCGGGAAATACGGTATTTGTAAAAATAATAAAGGTGGGAAATAAATAAACAACCAAAACAAAGTGATTTGGGGCGGCTTACAAATAATACAAAAGATAAATATAAAAACAATTTACAATGAAAAAGAGCTACACTGTATAAAAATATGATCTTCTGACGGTACAATTCCAGTCCAGTTGATGTTTAAAATGTCAACATATTATGGATTTATCTTCTACTGTGTTCAGCTTTCTTCTTCTTGCGTGCCATGTTCCCACTGTAATTCTGCCTCTGCAGATTTGTATTTGCTTTTCCTGCACGCCAACATGAGCAATTAGATGCCCTAAAGGTCTTAATCTTGCCATGCCATTAGTCCAGAAAAAGACTTCAGCTCTTCCTCAGCACCATGTTAGAAAATAGAATGTAGAACAACCGAGTTGGAAGGCACAACCTTGGAGATCATCTAGTCCAACCCCCTGCTCAGGCAGGAAACCCTATACCATTTCAGACAAATGGCTGTCCAATCTCTTCTTAAAAACTTCCAGTGTTGGAGCATTTACCGTTTCTGGAGGCAGGTTGTTCCACTGGTTAATTGTTCTAACTGTCAGGAAGTTTCTCCTTAATTCTAGGTTGCTTCTCTCCCTGATTTGTTTCCATCCATTGCTTCTTGTCCTGCCTTCAGGCACTTTGGAGAATAGGTTGACCCTCTCTTCTTTGTGGCAGCCCTGTTGATAATACTGCTATCATGTTGAATGCCATCTGACCTGAGAGGGCCCATAGTCAGGCACTATATCATCCCTTTATCACGTCTTTATCATATCAGGTCTTCTGGTAAAATACAGGAATGATTTATTATTGTCTTCTTTCATGCAATATGAATCATGGTAACTCAAAGGGAGCATCTGCTGCCCAATATAAGTGCCTGCTTGCTTTAGTTGGCAACAGGGATGACCTTCGTCACTTTGGTGACCTTGCTGGAATTATATATACGCTCTTAAAATTCTTTATTTTCCTCTTCTCTCCAAGGAATGCCACTACTACAATGAGGCAGCAGAGAAGGATTTGGGAATTTCATTACTAAACAAACCCAGTAAATAAGACAAAAGCAAGAAATACTGACAGGTACACAGCTTCAATATTTAAACAGTTGAGAAATGATTAAGAAAGACATCTCTATGCCTAGCAATTCGAGTAAAATATGTATTTTTTTAAAATGAGCGTTAGAGAGAATATTGAATTTGTTAGCTATCACAAACCACATGCCATATTGTCTTGAATTGCACACATTTCAGTAAGTGAGAATGCAAAAAACTGCCTGAAATATGGGAGATTACTACTTACGAATATGGGCTATTGAGAGTTGCTTTCCTAAACTGTTCAAAGGGTTGTTGAAAAAAATGTATTTAACGAACACTTGACATTCACAAATGCAAACAGGAATTCCAAAAATTCCAAGAGTTATCCCTGTTGTATCAAGAAGATTTGTGATTTAGTTCTATGTTAAATCTGACTTGCATTTCCAAAATCAAATTTGATAGTATAGGTCAGGGATAGGCAACCTTGGCTCTTTTATGACTCGTGGACTTCAACTCCCAGAATTCCTGAGGCGGCCATGCTGAGGGGAAAGGGAGAGGTTTCCAAGCTGAGCCATGCTGGCTCAGGAATTCTGGGAGTTGAAATCCACCAGTCATAAAGAGGCCTAGACCTAGGCCAGAGGTAGGCAACCTTGGCTCTTTTATGACTCGTGGACTTCACTCCCAGAATTCCTGAGCCAGCCATGCTGAGGGGAAAGGAGAGGTTTCCAAGCTGAGTCATGCTGGCTCAGGAATTCTGGGAGTCATAAAAGAGCCAAGGTTGCCTACCCTTGGTATAGGTGTAGGAGAAGGAGGGGCAGAACTTGGAGAAAGAGTCAAAAGAGGAATCAACCTAGAATCCCTACGTAACAACAAATGAACTAAGTCCAACCCTCTTTAAATCGTTGGCTCTTATCTAACTCCTAGCATATGCTAAGCTTTAGTTGAGAAGTTTCCTGTGCATAGGTTTTTAGCAATAAATCAGCTGACTTGAACCTTCCTTATGTGGCTCTGATCTTTCGCACCTGGCAGAGGCTTCTTCCACTTACCTCAAAATGTCTACAAACACCTTTCATGGGATAGTCTGTCAAATGCCGAAATCATGATTTTTATCTCAAAAGTTCGTCATTTCCCAAAGCCATCCAGGCCCAGAGCAGGAAGCATTTATTTTCTTTTAAGAGATTAATTTGTGTTACGTTATACACTTTGGCTTTACATGTTTTAGCTTCCGTTTTCTTCCTCTCCTTCGTTTGTATTGCATTAAATTGCTTTTTATTATTATACAGACCAGAAAGGAAAAAGGCACAAAATGAAGGCCTTACCCTCTGACGTTTTCCACCGTTTCCACAAATCCTCAATGGTGATGTGCTTGTCTTCTCTGTGCAAGTGGCTGTGTTTATTAGACGCATCTTTATATTTCATATCTTCTCTGATAAACTGAGAAGAGAAAATTGTGGTATGAAATACGCTATGTCGGGCACGTTGTAACAACTCAAACCAATGGTGCTGAAATTAGTCACTTCCGGGTTCAGATGAGAAATTTCTTTATATATCTAGTCATTATTCTTAATCACTCCATTGGATAGTCATTACAATTAAAAAAAAAATAGAAATAATCCCTAAGCAGGGATGGACAACTTCACCACCTAATATCATTTATTTCTTTCAAATATGACACAACTGGACAATATTTCTCTCAGTCCACATGCTACAAATACATTACCAATAGTGAAGAATAACAAAAAAAAAAAAATAGAAGACAAAATAACTGGAATATTGGCTGAAGTAACTACAGGTATTCCTTGATGTACAACAGTTCGTTTAGTGACTGTTCAAAGTTACAACGATCACTGAAAAAAGCGACATGACCCTTTTTCATACTTATGATGGTTGCAACATTCCCGTGGTCACACAGTGATTAACATTCAGATGGGCAAATAAGTACATACTGTATGCCATGTACTTTAATAAAGTGCCTTTAAAAAAGACATTTCATTTACCTCCACTGATTCCTCCTTGTCAAAATAATTATCTTGTTTCATATACAGTTTTTCCCCTTACAAAAGGACCAGACAAAATTAAGACAATAGAGGTTGGAGGTGGAGTTGAGGGTAGCAAATTGCAAAAGAGAGAGAGAGAGAGAGAGAGAGAGAGAGAGAGAGAGAGAGAGAGAGAGAGAGAGAGAGAGAGAGAGAGAGAGAGAAAGAAAGAAAGAAAGAAAGAAAGAAAGAAAGAAAGAAAGAAAGAAAGAAAGAAAGAAAGAAAGAAAGAAAGAAAGGAAAAAACTTAATTATTAGCCAGAATTATTTGAGTCTGATAAATTAGTCAACAGATTTAAAAACAATGGGAAGGAAGGAAGGAAGGACAAATAGGGAAAGAAAGAAAGAAAGAGAGAGAGAGAGAGAGAGAGAGAGAGAGAGAGAGAGAGAGAGAGAGAGAGAGAGAGAGAGAGAGAGAAAGAAGGAAAGAAAGAAAGAAAGCCCTATTCAAAAACTACAACTGTGGATGTTAAAAATTATAATAATAAAAAAAGCTGACCAAACAGTGGATCACCAAATAACCGGTGGAAAAAGATCACACAGACAGACTACATATGTCACATTGGAATACCTGCAAAAAATGCCAGTTGCCTGAAAGCAGAACTGCTGGTGGGACCACAAAATAGATAAATAGAAAGCGAAAAAGCTAAACTGCTCCGGGAGTTCCAAATTCAAACGTATTATTATACAACATCTGCCTATCCCAGGTCCTTGGGAAGGACTCCACGGGTGGACAAAAAAGCGAAACCCACTCTTGAACACCTGGCTGTGTGACCAACCATAATAAAATTAAATTTATATGCCATCCGACTGCTTGTGGCTCTAAATTCACAAGCAACCATTCCTTTCCAACTAAAGGACCACCTTCAGAGGCATCCAAACACGCTTTATTTCCCGCCTGCTCTTTTATTTTCAACCATTCACTGATGCTTCTGAGACGCTGACAGCTCCTCTCAATTTAGAGGAATTAATTAGAGTAGGGGGAAAAACCCCTTCCTGCAACAGACCATCAAGCCTCCAGAAGACTGGGAGATGTTACTGTTTTAATATTCTGTCCCTGAATCTCTGAAACTAGTCCTCACCGCAAAGCTAGCGCTCTTGTAAAAGTCAGCAGCAAAGTTTTAAAAGGGACAAGAACAGACTTGCAAAGGTATGTGGCAATTATAATGCTGTGGCCAATGTGTTCCAAAAAGTAAATTGTAATAATCACCAGATTGCCAGTTTCAATTGGGCTTATCATCTGATTTGTGCAGAGGTATAGGTATTTCAAGAGAATACTCCAATATTGTATTTCACATCTGCGTAACACAAAGACGCTTACAAACTTACAGACAGACAGACATAAAGGAGCTGCTGAAACCATAAACAACACAAGCCATGCTTCAGAAAATTTGACAGTCCCAAAACATAAGAAAGGCTGAGCGCCAAAGAATTGAGCCCTTTGAACTCTGGTGCTGGAGAAGACTCCTGCGAGTCCCCTGGATTGGAAGGTGATCAAACCGGTCAGTCCTAGAGGAGATCAACCCTGACTGCTCTTTAGAAGGCCAGATCCTGAAGTTGAAACTCAGGTACTTTGGCCACCTAATGAGAAGGAAGGATTCACTGGAGAAGAGCCTAATGCTGGGAAAGATGGAGGGCAATAGAAGAAGGGGACGACAGAGAATGAGGTGGCTGGATGGAGTCACTGAAGCAGTAGGCGTGAGCTTAAATGGATTCCAGAAGATGGTAGAGGACAGGAAGGCCTGGAGGAACGTCGTCCATGGGGTTGCGATGGGTCGGACACGACTTTGCAACTAACAACAACAACACTTCCAATATGATGTACTGAATGTTCACAGCAATGACAGCTATGTAGGTAGATTTCATTTTGTACAAGGTGATGCAAAAGATGTATTCTTATTTTCCTATATAAATCGTCCGCAAAAACAAAACATTAACAAAAATAAATCTTCCCTAACCATCCTTTAATAAAAGGAAAAAGAGTTTTGCTTTCCTTTCCTTACTATACCAGGGATAGGCAACCTTGGCTCTTTTATGACTCGCGGACTTCAACTCCCAGAATTCCTGAGCCAGCATGGCTTAGCTTGGAACCCTCTCCCTTTTCCCTCAGCGTGGCTGGCTCAGGAATTCTGGGAGTTGAAGTCCACGAGTCATAGAAGAGCCAAGGTTGCCTACCCCTGCTCTAAACTAATAAAGTCTACATTAATTAACATTAATTATGCTTTCATATGTTCCTCTAGGTCAGGGGTAGGCAACCTTGGCTCTTTTATGACTTGTGGACTTCAACTCCCAGAATTCCTGAGCCAGCATGGCTCAGCTTGGAAACCTCTCCCTTTCCCCTCAGCATGGCTGGCTCAGGACTTCTGGGAGTTGAAGTCCATCAGTCATAAAAGAGCTAAGGTTGCCTACCCATGTACTATACCAATATGCAGTCAACCGTACCCCTCATTTTATAGTACAGGTAATCCTAAATTTACAACAATTGAGCCCAAACTCTCAAAACAAGACAATTGTTAAATGAGTTTTTGCCTCATTTTATGACCTTTCTTGCCACAATTGGTCAGTGGAATACAGCAACTGTTAAGTTAGTAACTTGGTGGTTAAGTGAATCTGGCTTCTCCATTGACTTTGTTTGTCAGAAGGTCTGCAAAAGGGGATCACATGATCCCAGGACACGGCAACCGTCATAAATATGAGTCAGCTGCCAAGCCTCTGAATTCTGATCACATGCTGCAACGGTCATAATGTGAAAAACAGTCATAAGTCACTTTTTTTTTCAGTGCTGTTGTAATTTGGCAGAGTCATTAAAAGGAATGATTGTTGGTCAAGGACTACGTGTATCATCACAAACTCTAATTTTTCAAAAACATTTTTTTCAAATCTAATGTTAACACTTGAGAACTAGATACTACAGCAGGGGTATTCAAACTTGGCCCATTTATGACTTGTGGACTTCAACTCCCAGAATTCCTCAGCCAGGCACGCGTGCCTGGCTGAGGAATTCTGGGAGTTGAAGTCCACAAGTCATAAAAGGGCCAAGTTTGAACACCCCTGTACTACAGTATAATGGAGAGAAAATACAGCTCTCCTTTCTATATCTGTGACAGCAACTATACATCATTGAACGTTGTTATGTTAAAAATTTTCCAATATCAGGTATTTAAAAACCTATCAAAAAATATCTAGACGAGACTAAGTCCCCTTGAGCTTTATAACAAAGGTGTGCAGGAATAAATTTGTTACACAGAGCTATATGTAGTTCAGCAAATGCGTAAATCAGGGCTGTCCAATCTTGACAACTCTATGACCTGTGGACTTCAATTCCCAGAATTCCCCAGCCAGTCAGCCATGCTGGCTGGGCAGTTTTCTGAGTTGGAAGTTCACAAATTTTAAAGTTGCCAAAACTGGACACCCCTGGCTGTAGCTGACATTTTATGTCACAGGTTATCTGATTCATTTTATGTTTTTTTCAGCCTGAAAAAAAGGTCAATCGTGGTTCAGAGGAAGTCACTGAAGATAAGAAGTCAATAAACCAATTCTGCAATTTCTACCAGCATGCCTTTTATATTTTCAGCCTTAAATTACTGCAGATTTTATTTCAAACTATGTCTTGTGGCTTTTCATGCTGTAGTTTTAAATGTCCACTGGGCCTTACCATAATGTAATTAGAGAAGGAAACATGAACAAGCAAAGAAAAGGACTTAAAAGCTATGTGAACACAATCTAGAAAGTTAATATCTAGATAAATAAAATTCTCTTTATCCAAGTTCTACCACAGATGGTATGCTGGGCTTAAAAATGTCTTTCTCTCGGTTGCCATCGATTAGTCTTCTAAAGCAAGGGTAGATTTATAAGGAAAGAGACAAGCTTCTCAACAGGTCAATGAACAGGCTCTTTTACTTGTGCTTAGCAACTTATAAGAATAATACAATTCTTTGTACATGGAAAAGAGGTTACTAATTTTTCATTTATTTTTTTTTAGGAAGAAATTTTATTGGTTTTTTGGTTTTTCAAACAAAATGCTCAAGACACGCAGTGGTGTTAGGGTAGTCAAACATCCAAAGACAAAACATATATACATAATTCAGTCAATACATCTAATATTCCCTCTCTTTTTCCCTTAAGTAACATAATTTATTTAAAATAGTCCAATTCTAGCTTAAATTTATGCAACCTATACCCATTTTTAAAGCTTTAGAAATTTACATTATCATAATCAAATTAACTTTAAGTACAAACATTATCAACTTGGGTATCCCTTCTAAATATATTCTAGTTTCTTGATTTTATCATAAATCTTATTTAATTCTTCTTCCACTAATATCCCTTAATTAATTAAATTTTAATCCCTTAATTAAAATAACATATTAATATTCTATACATATCTAGTCCATCAAT